GACTGCCGCGTCACCCGTATTCGGGTGACAGCAAAAGTTCTCATCAGGCCACGTCACCCGTAATTCGGGTGACGCTGATTTGACTACTTACAAAGGATTTCCGAAAATATTTCGACAAATATTCTACAGGAGGTAATGAAACTATTGAATTCTTATAAAAATGGTTTATTAAAAAAATTATTCGCAGTGTATAACATTAAAACATTCTCTGCAAAGTTGAGGTTGATCAGGACAGCTTGGACAAAAAGTTGTTTGTTTTTTCAGATATGCTCGTGCCTCTGATCGGTCCATTTCGTATCTTTTATTTGAACTGTAGCTTCCTCGGTATCATCAACATTTCTTTCTTCTTCTGTTGAAATTTTAGCCTCGAACAAAAATTAATCTATAGTTTACTTAGTACTAAGATACTAAGATATCGGTTTACATTTTCGCCGGTTCCGTCAGCGGGCAACGACGGTGATGTAAACTGTATATAGTAGATACCGCGATACATCATCACCGGTACCATTAGATATACATCGTGCCCTGACTGTTTGGGGATCCCAGCGTCACGTATACAATGTGAAACGCGACAAATAAAACGTCTCTGATTGGTGGATAAGACGAACCCAAGAAGGGTATAAAAGAAGCGTTTTTTCTTACCGGACTCTCAGTAGAGTTTGGTCGCTCGATCGTTTTCGCCCATATACCTTCACTCAATAAAGGAATAAAATAAAGTCCTTTTAAGCAAAGAATTAGAATCATATTCATTTTCATTCCATAATCCCAACAGGTTTATTAACACTTGCGCCAAATTTCATAAATATCAGCGTGTATCCGTCACCGGGTTCCCTTATATTAGGTTGGTGCATATGAAATGTCGGATTCTCTTTACATGTGAACGTTTGTCTCCCCGTTTTCGTCATGCTTCTGTTTTTGGCGTAACCTCGTTTATGGTCGTACCGTCCATTGCCAGAGTCACATTTCAACAAAGAAGATTGTCTCAAAAGTGTTCCATTTTGTTATTTGTTTTGAACTCCGTAAGCAAAAGCTGCACGCAGTATAAACCAGGCGTTTGGGGAGGACGCTGTTAACGATCGAAAAGTGCAGCGTTGGTTTGAAAATTTTCGGTCTGCTGATTTTTCCCTACAAAGTGAACCGTGTGGAAGACCCAAAACGTCTGTGAATTAGAATCATATTCATTTTCATTCAATAATCCCAACATCTTCCATGACCAATTCTCGTAAAATCTCGTCAATAGTATCTTCATAACATTCATTATCACTAAGATTATATTTATCAGTATCCAAATCAGAATCTGACGTGTAATTTTATTTATGCTTCTCCTTCCGGGCAATCCGATCTCTTTTCATTATTGAAAAAATATAAGGGCAGAGATTTTAAGTTATACCATTCGGTACTCGACAAAGATTCCAACTGTTCATGCAGAAACAGAAACAGATATGAATTAACAGCGCACGCTTCCTATAGCGGCACGGGTGACCTGTAGGAGATTTTGTTGTAAATACGCGTGGCAGTCAACGTGTTAATATATAGAATAATTTCCAAAATCTACTATCTCTATATTAATATCTCACTCGTTAATTACGGTTAATGATTAACAGCAGTAATTTAATCCTAAGGCGTCGATTAATTTTTTGCCGAACTTTGCGAACTCCGGGTTGAAAGTCGTACGCTATGCAATGAAATCACGCTCAGGTGATTAGCAAAGCTGAGAGAAAGAAGAGCCAGGATGTCGGACGAATGCACGGGGAGCGCATTCCGCGCTTTTTCAGTCCCGCCCAGCAAAGAACGATTTCAAGCTCGCATTCCAGGCTGCTCGGCTCGAGATTCCTGGATGAGTACCGATCTCTATTCCCGAACCGCATCGTGCAGTGCGACGCGCGGGATCAGAGTGTCCCTAAATTTCGCAAATCTCTCGAAATATATTCGACGGGCCGACATCTCCCCGCGTTATCCAATCTCGAGGAATCCTGACCATTTCCGTGGCTTCCATCTGCGGGGTAATTTCGGTGTGGGCCTGCGAGCCGAGCCAAACTCCCTCCGCAGACCCCGCTCGACTTTTCTTTCCTCTTACAAGCGAATACATCCGCGGGATGGTCTCTCCAGGAGAAGAGTGAGAGCGAGGGAGAGAGAGAGAGAGAGAGAGAGAGAGAGAGAGAGAGAGAGAGAGAGGGAGAGAGAGAGAGAGAGAGAGAGAGAGAGAGAGAGAGAGAGAGAGAGGGAGAGAGAGAGAGAGAGTGATTTATCCAACGTCCGGAGACGAACTGATTTCGCTTGTCCAAACCTGGCCGATGGCCCTTAATTAAACGGGTCGCTGCATTTTAAACGGGAACGGGAATTCCCGAAATTGCGGCCCGGCCAATACTTTCCCG